CTAAAAAGGATTCTATATACCCAGTATCCATAACTTTTCCCTCTACAGCAACAACAGCTGCAGCAAAGAAAACCTTGTATGTTCTTTTGAATGAGATTCATTCACTATTTTAGAGTGAGACTAGGAATCTACATGAGTGTGCTGGTCCTCTACAAGCTGACAGTGCCAGCACATGTGCTTTTCCACACAGACCTAACAAGAACCCAGTGCAATGCACACACCAACTCCCAATGGCTGTATGCTTTCAAGACAGTCCCAGAAAGGAAGTGACAGCATTTTAAGGATGGCTGGGCTTCGCTTAGGCAGAAACACAAGAATAGTGATAGATGAGTCCTGTTGGCATTTCCCATGAGTAGTGCTTATTAACAGCCAGACCGGGATGTACTAACCTCTTTGCTTTGTAAACTAAGCCTTACAGGAATTAAAGACCTTACTGGGCACATGGCAGATAATCTTTGTGCAGCTCCTCACATCAAGCCAATCAGTTGAAGTCCACTGCCCTGTCCTCGAATCTGGGCTCACATTATGATTTACAATGATCAAATGTAGTGAAAATGGAATTCCAAAATCTTGGCCTCTAAATGCCTGGCTTTGAACTACTTCCCAATCATCACCAAAAGAAAAACTATGTATGCTATACTTACATGTTCCAGCAAGTGTATATAGGTGTCTGCACAGGTGCAAGACCGTGTCTCTGTGGAGGTCAAAGCTGGATACTGCGTGTCTTCCTCAAGTACTCTCCCTCCTATGTTCTGATACAGAGTCTCTTTGAACCTAAAGTACAACAATCCAACTAGACTGACTGCCAGTGAGCTTCAGGGATCCACTTGTTTCCACAACCCTAGTGCTAGGATGACAGGCACACCTCATGCACACAGGTTTTATGTTCTGGGGATCTGAATTCAGGTTCTCATGCTTACATGGCAACTGGGCCATCTTCAAATTTATGTGTGTGGTATGTGCATGCTAGGCAAACACCACGATTGGGCGACATTCACAGTGCCAGGAAATTTAGGTGGTTTTGTTTTGGTTTGTATTTTGGAGACAGAGTTTCTCTGTGTAGCCCTGGCTGTCCTGGAACTTACTCTGTACATCACTCCTGCCTCTGCCTCCCCAGTGCTAGGACTAAAGGCTAGGTCACTGCTATCAGGCCAGAAAACTTGTTTTTACAACTCATTAATTACATTCTATCCTATTAAAAAACAAAAACAACTATACCTCTTTTTTTTTTTTTAAAGAAAAAAAAATACATGCACTACTAGGGCAAAGTGTGATGGCTCAGGCCTGTAGTTTCTCCATTTGGGAGGTGGCGGCAGTAGGACCTGAAGTTCAGAGTCATCCCCAGCTACACTGCAGGTTCAAGGCAGTCTAGAATAAAAACAAACAAATGAACAGACATCCACCAGACTGAAGTGGCTGTGTGGTGAAGAACACGAACAGCTCTTCCAGAGACCCTGAGTTTTGTTCCCACCTACAATAGCTCCAGCTCCTAGGATCCTCCAGTCACTGCTTGTCTCCTCTGGCATCAGCACTCCTGTGCACACACTCCCACCACACACACATTAACATACTTAAAATAATAAATCTTTAGGAAAAAAAAAGTTACCAAAATTGATAGCCCAGAAAAATGTGCAATGCTTGTTTTTGTGTGGTTCAGTTTCCCAGAACACACAGGGGTTTTCCTGAAGCCCAATATCAATGGTGAAGAGTATCAAGGGTGAGGATAAAACTGGCTTTAGTGTCATTCCTTCTCAATGGACGACTCCAAGTTGAAAGTCTGCCTACGATATTCCTGATGACAAGTTCAGAGAATGTAAGCACTGACCACCAAGTTAACAATAATACAGAAATCACACACTACAGTCTTACTTCCCCTTTTAGAACATAGCACTTTTAGGTTCCTGAAATAATGTTTATTAACCAGCAGTAGCAGTAAAACTTCAGACAACACGCCACTCTCAAAGCTCCAAACCTGACAATGATTTCAGCAGTTATAAGAAATCTGCCAGTTTCCTGAAATGTAGCCCTAAATTATTTTTTGGTGTTGTCTCTCTGACATAATAGACTTGATTGGCAGCTGTAAAAATAAGTAATTTGAGGTTTTACTTTAAGATCTCAGGTAAAAATGTTTATAGTTTTCTCTAGAGTGAAGACACAAACAATGTCAAAGCGACTAGACTGTTTTCAATATGAAATCATTGGTTTAAGGACTTAGGTAGAAAGCACTGCTGCTCATTTGCCTACCAAGTACTCACTCATAGACTTTACTCATTTGATGAGTGTTACAATGTGTAAGGCACCCGAGACAGAGACTATCAAGACTTGCTGCCCTTAAGGAACAGATTTATGGGGGAGACAGAATTCTAAGGCAGTTGCAGAGTCTGGCCTCTGCATCATCCACCTCTTTGGTGTAGCTACTCCTTTCCTTGAGTAAAGGTGGGACCTTATACAAAAGAACAAGACAAAGGTGTGAACATACATTCTGTCATACAAGACTCCTTAACCAAGTGAAGAGGGCAATGGTAAAGAGATTCCCAAGAGACTTGAAGAAGCAAGTGCTGGTTTTCAGAACTACACAGCAAAGACCAAGAGCACTTAAAATGTCTCAAATATTAGGTAAATACAACAGGGGCCCTCAGGCATGAGGAGCACATCCTACCAATAACCTAAGAAGCTCGGAAGCTCACCACCAATTACATCCTTCCTTTCAACCTTTTGAGACGTGGGAAGGAACCCACCTGGAGCCTGCCTCCTGTCTAGGTGTCCTCAGTTTATACTGCTCTACACCATAAGTCTGAGATGATTGTCACATGTAAGCCTAAAGGCCTCTACAGACAGCATAAAGGGCTCTCTACAGCCTGGTTTCTCCATAAGCCCTTCTCCTCTCCACTTCCTGCAATTCTCAGGGAAACTACGTGTCTTCTGGTCTTGGGAAATGTTTGAAATGTGCTCTTCTCCAACACAGCAAATTATTCTCTTCCATCCAATACAAGCACCCCTTGCAAATCCTTCTCTGAACCCCAGGCCCAAGTGGCCTTACAGACACTTTATTTCTGCCTTCATTTGTTAGTTGTAGAAATACTGAAGAGCCTGTCTGCTCTAAACTGCTTGACACAACTCTTGATTTAGTAAGGTAGTTATTTCATGAAGGTATGACTGTTTCTTTCCTTAAATCACTTGCTGAAACTCAACAATGGCAATAGTATCAGACATTTGGCAATGTTTGGAAATATCTCTGGTTGTCACACTGGTGCTACAGACACGTGGATGAACACTGAGATGTTGTAAATCATGCCACGGTGCACAAGGAAACACAACAAAGAATTGCACCATCAAAATGTCACTATTGGCAATGCTGAGGCCAAGAAACCTTACTATGTGACTTAAAAGACATCTGTGGTCATTTCTGATTCCCTCAGAACTGTTTCTGACTAAACCAAAGAACTTTGCTACTAAAATCTATACTCGAAATATCAATAGTCTAAACAAATCCTGTCACTTATTTCAGTACCTTTTACCAACTCCTGCCATATGTGTTCTGATAGTTCTGATAGGTCTAGATCTGAGACCTAGAGCTCAAATCATTGTATTAAAAACAAACTGCAAGTCAGGCATGAGAGCCTTTAATCCCAACACTAGGGAGGCAGAGGCAAGCAGATTTCTCTGAGTTCAAAGGGCAAGTGTGGTCTACTTAGAAAGTGCCAGGACAGCCAGAGCTACATAGTGAGACTCTGTCTTTAAAAAAAAAAATGCAGTGCTGAGTATGTCAATCAGTTGGTGAGTGTTCACTATGATGCATGAAAGAAATACCGAGTTAGATCTCTACACTGCACAAACCAGACATGGCGGTGTATGCCCATAATCATGCACTTGGGAGGAATGCCAAATGATCAGAAGGTCAAGGTCATCATCAATACATAGCAAGTTCCCAACACTTAAGACTGCAGGAGACCACTATAAAGCAAACAGCAATCACAAGTTGTATTTGTTCCTTATTCTACATCCTTCCTCTAGGAAGCCTGTCTGCCTGGCTGGGAAGACGGCACAGGCGCAGGTGATCACGTACTTAAATCTTAGCCATGCAAGGATGAGGACCTGATAGCACGCTTGTCATCTGATAGCACGCTTGTCATCTTAGCCCTGGGGAGGCAGGACCATGAGGATTTCCAGGATTCCCATGCTGGCTTGCCAGTATAGCTAGAGTCTGTGAGCCCCAGGTTCTGTAAGAGACTATCTCAAAAACATAAATAAGAAATAAGAAGACACCCAATGTTCTCCACATTCAAGTGCACCTCTTTACTTGGGTGCCTCCTACTCATATTCAAATTCAAGCTCAACGGCCAATTCTTTCAGGAACTTCCTAATGAATCCCAAGTTAGTTGTTCCTTTATATTCCCATTGCACTGCAGGGCCTGTCTACCTCTAAGAAAAGAATCCACCCATAGCAATAGCTAAGTACTGAATGGGTACATTCAGCAACTATGCACTGGACAGCAACTATGCTGACATGTGCCAGGCACTCCTCTAGATACCGAACACAGTGTGCACTTATACTCACAACCCTGCCTTCATGGAGCTCACATTCTAATGAGGTCGGCCTGGCAAACAAAGCATGAGTACTACGGCAGCCAGAAGCACTGTGGAACAAACCGCAGGGGAAGAATGATGCAGGAGAGATGGAGTTGCAACTGTAAACAAGTTAGCACAGGACTAGTGACTGAGGTGCCTCCTACTTACCATCTAAAGCAAAAGAGAAAAAGCCAGGGGCATGTGACCATTTGAGGGAAGAGAGCTGCCAAGCTAGAGGCTTCAGGGACATACAATGCCTGCCACAATTGAGGAAGTACCCAGTAGCTCTGCAAGGGGACAAGCAGCACAGAGTAAGATCTAGAAGAACAGATCTATCCTTGCAGATATTCCTTTACTCCAAAAGAAATGAAGAGTTACTGGAGGCTTGTGAAAAGAGCAATGTAATAGGATCAAACACATACTACAGGGATCTCTCTGGGGCTGGCAAGATGGCCCGACAAGTGAAGGTGCTTGCCACCAAAACTGACCACCTTAGTTCAATCCCAAGTCTGACATGGTTGAAAGAAGTAACTCCCTCAAGTTGAATTCTGAGCTCGACAAGAACACTACGGCATGTACGGACCACTGAGGAAACCTAATTCCAGCTTCCCACGGTCAGAACTCTAACTACGGGTTGAAAAAGCCGCTTTTTTCATTCACAAAACTATGACATTGATTCTACTATTACCCGAGTCTTATAGATCAGTAAACTGAGGCACAAACTTGCCAAAGACCACACAAGGAAGAGGTGGAGCCATGATAAAGCCCAGGGAGCTGGTTCCAGGACTCTACCTTGAACCCATATACTCTACCCCTAGTCCACTCACCACACTCTCAAACCTACTGCGCACACTCATCTAGGTGAGTGTACAAACATCTGTCCCTCCTACCACATGCTGCAAGTCAGGGTAACAGGTGCTCAGCTGTAGCCCCTATCTGAAAGAGGAGAGTCAGACAAGGAAGAAAACATGAGACTGTAAATGCTTACTGTAAAGCATGAGAGCCACACCGAAGGACTCCAACAGAGTGCTACAGAAAGCAACTAACAGACAGCCAAATGAAAGTGGGTGCTCACTCTCCGAAAGACCCAACGAGCAGCTCAAAGAGTCAGATGCAGATATTTACACCCAACCAATGGACAGAAGCTGCTGGCCCCTGTGGCTGAATTAGGGAAAAGCTGGAAGAAGTTGAGGAAGAGGGTAACCTTGTAGGAAGATCAACTAACCTGGACCCCCAAGATTTCTCAAACACTGGGCTACCAACCAGGCAGCATACTCCAGCTGATATGAGGCCCC